ATAGAGACTGTTATGATTAAGTGAAATAATGCAGGTAAGGTGCTGAGGGTAGTGCTTAGCACACAGCAAGTGATAACTACTGGCCCTGTTCCTAGGTCCAAGTGCAAAGCTAGGCACACATGGCGGGCACCCCGTAAAGATGGCATTGATCCATGGGAGGAATGAGGACACTCAATTCCAATCTGCCTCACTCACTATGCTGGGAACCCAGTCACCTTACTTACCTTATGGAATTATAGACCCTCTTTCTACTTTTCTCCTCTATAACATGGAGATGGGCCCGTCCTCTGACAGAGTACTAGGCCTTTGAAACTGCTTAGAAAAGTATGAGATAGAATAGAAATGTAGAAGTGGCTATTCCTATTCCTCTAACCTTGCACTTTCACCAAGCTGACCGCTTTTGCCACCCTTAGAAAGCTTCATGGCAGCTGAGAGTGTTTGTTATCATTTGCCTTCGCCTCCCAGGGCCAAATGTTTCCGTCTCGTTCATCCATTGACTCCCAACACTCTCATCAAAGGGATGGTTTCCCAGCTTCAAGGAGGTGTGTGTGCAGAATTCTAAACATTCCTTTTCATCCCTTCATTCTTTTTGCTCCTCAGGTACAAATATCTGGAATCATGAATGGCATAATAAAGACAGAAATGGCTTTGTAGTCTTTGTAGTCTGGGAACAGGGAGTGTGTCTGTCTTGTTTGTGGCTATACCTCAGCACCCAGCGGGGCCCTCGGGAACATGGGAGATAATAAGCTTTTGTGGGATGAGTGAATGTGGCAGAAATCAATGTTGTCTACCCAACATCCATTCCCAGTTTCTCCCAGGCTGAATAATGCTAAATTTTGGCTGAATGGTTATGTACACAGCCTGGGAGCTGAGTAACCATCAGTCCTAGAAATTAGTCCTAGCGATCTCATTTCCCTTTGCCAAAGGGTGGGCATGTGACCCAGTGAAATCTATGGCCAATGAAATATATGGTAACTCTTCTGGTAACTTCTATCAATGATTTTCCATTTTTATAAGGTGTGAGAGTCATATAAGGGGAAAATACTGCTGAGCTAAGCCCACTTCCTTCCTCTGTGGGATGTCTGTGCAGAGGGCAGAGTAGAGCTGTGGTAGCCATCTCGCAACCATGAGGAAGGTCCAAGAACGTCAGAAACTGTCGTATCTACCTGACTGAAGCTGCTGAACTGCCTAAGTCCAGGTGTCTAAGTATGAGAAATAATTCCCTAATTAATCCCTACTTTTTAGCATTCTTTTACTTGCAACTGAATACAATCCTACTGAGTCAATGAATGATTGTGCCCAGAGGAGGGTCTTTCATTATATTTGGGTACAATATAGCAGGTAGTTGCCTTATTACCAAGTTCCTTGTTCTGAAAAAAAGCTGTCCACTTATTTTCATATTCCCACTTTCAATATCACTTATCATATTTCTACTTTAACATGGAAACCCGCCATGCTTCTCTTAAAATCTCAGGGTCATTACTCCTTTGAGGTTTCTGAACAGACTAAAGGTGTCACCTTTACATCCAGATGTTCCTTATCTGTTTATCTGTTCTGTTTTCTCATTGTCACTTTCTATCGAGCAAATACAGGCATACCCTGGAGATATTGCTGGTTCAGTTCCTGACCACTGCAATAAAGTGGGTGTAGCAATAAATTGAGTCATAATCTTTTTACTGGTGGAGGATCTTGCCTTCAACTTGTAAAAAAGACATCAGTGAAATGCAATAAAGTGAAGGGCAATCAAACAAGATATGCCTGCATTATATCTAGATCTTAATTGCTTTAATGGGCCCCATCCGTAGTAATGGGGACATTTAGGTGATTATCTAGTGTCCTCAGATCTTCTTGAGCAATTTTATTGGTCATTTCTTTGAGCAAAATCATGCAGGGGGGTACTAGTCCCACATAAACTTGTATCTTAGGCCAAGAATTATCCTGATTAATAGCAACATTACTTTCTGGCTCAAAGCTACCCTCCCTTAAGAAGTGGTTTGCAAACATTGCGGCACATTTGAATTGCCTGAGGTGCTATAAAAGAATGCCTAATACCTAGGTCTTCCTCACGCCAAATAAATCGGGACCTCAGAGGGGAGTCAAGCATGAGTAGTTTTCAACTTGCCACATGACTCCAATGTGCAGCCAAGCTTGAACATCAATGCTTTACTTCCCAATCTGTAATGTGCCTGTGAATCACAGAGAGACCTTGTTGAAATGCAGATTCTGAGGGACTAGGGTAGGGACTGATATGCATTTCTAACAAGTCCCCACATTTTGAATAGCCAGGATCTGAAATCTAAATGTAGCAATCTATTCTAATGAAGGATCTGAATGAATTAAACTCTACTTGAGTCCAACTGCAAAGCCACACACACACACACACACAATGATCACTGTGATAGAGTCCAGAGCAGGGGCTGTGAATCCAAGAACCAGAGGGCTGCTACTTTTGATCTAGGTTAGCTGTGGACTTACATTGACCAATCATCCCAGCTGGCCGAGGACTGAGGGAGTCCCCAAATGTGAGAGGAACTTTGAAGTTTCAACCGAGGACAAGTGGTCACCCTAATTATGGAGGTTTTTTAAATAGCAACAGAACAGCCAAGATTTGAACTTCCTCATTCCAATTCCTCTTTCTGGGGAATGGGAGTGGCAGTCCATCATGGGGTCAAGGATGTGCTGGCAAAGATGATTCAAGGAAAAAAAATGCTGAGTTGCATGTACCAACAGGAACCTACTGGATATGACCTTGGGAGGGTAAATAATCGGGCATAGCCCGGTGGACTTAGGAAAATCCAAGAACAAGTCTATCACCTGGCTGCAGAGTGAAGTCTAGGGTACTCTGGCACTGTTTCCTTGCCCCAGGGTGGGGTGGGGTGGGGGGTAACTCATTCCCCCTATTTGGCTCTCAATTTTACCAGCTAAACAAAATGAAAGGTGTCTTTCCTGCTCCCAGGTCCCCCCACTCCATATACTACACGGATAAAGCCCAGAAAGGCAGAGCACCACCTTTTCAGCTCAGAAAGTGAAACCACCGTGTTGTGTGAGCAGCAGGCTCCAGTCTCCCCAAGCGCCTTCCTAATGGCATTAGCATTTGCCTCATTCCAGAACAAGTCCCCTCCTGGTCCTTTGAATCTCAGAGAGCTGAGAACCCATAGCGCTCTTCTTTTCTTTCTTCTTTCTTTCTTTTTAAGACTGTAACGTGTTTACAAATCTAAATGAAACTCTATTTCAGACTCAGTGGCTTCCTCCTTCTGCTCTTGCCTCCATCTGGGGAGCCCACTTCTCAACTCTTTGTTTTCTTTAGAGAGACAGAGAGCCTCCCCAGACACCCATTGCCGCATTCCTGTTAACCTTTCATTAAGCCTGCTGACAGCTGGCCTCAGCTCTCAGTGAGTTAGTTCAACACATTCCCCTTTTCAATGTGTCCCACCTGGCTTCATTAAGGCTCCTGCCAGGTTCTCCATTTGCCACTTCCTTTGCAAATGCAAATGAGATTCTGAGTAAATAATTTTCGGACCAGGGAAGATTGAACTATAAAGGGGTGGGGAATTGGAGAACTGTCAAAATGCTGGGGCTGCTCAGGATTTGAGTAAAGGAACATCTATTGGGACCAAGCAGGTCAATGCCGCCCTCTGCAGGCATCATGTCTTTCCTTCCAGCCCTCAGTGTGTGGGGTCTTTCCTGCCTGCCAAGCCTCAGTTCTGTTCCTAGGGGCTGGACTTATGTGACCTCAGGCAAGTTCCTTCATCTATCTCTGCTTCTGTTTTCTCAGCTCCCAAAGCAAGAATGATATGCCTGCCCATTGAGGCTGCTGAATCCTTGCAAGGAATCTACAGGCTGTATCAGGGCAGAATTGAGACTGATTTTTTTTTTCCTCTCTTAAAAATAATGTCAAAAGAGTAGACATAGGAAAGGTGGCTTCCTTGGAAGGCTGTGTGCTTATTGTATTATTTTTGTGATTGCCCTAAACATACCAGGCAGTGTGTCAGGGAAATTCCTTTCAGTTCTGGTGACATCCCACATTTCTGCCCCACTAGAGGCCTCCCTCATTCAGATACACATTCTTTCCATTCACTCATTCATTCATTCATTCATTCAACAGCCATTTGCTTTCACCTCTCTCCTTGGGTCCTTCATCTTGCAGTTATGGAAGTTTTAAAAATAAATCTGTTCCTACTGAGGAGCACATTTCCACGAACTGTATTTAATCTGGGTTGCCTTACAGTCAGATCATGCATTGGCCCTGGTTGAATGTCCACCTCACTTACTGCATTTTGCTCTGGTGGACTCTTAATTGTTCCCAAAATTGAATTCCCCAAGCAAGAATTAAGATGTGACACCATGGTCACCCCTAAAGACACTCAAATGTGAACAGAAAATAATAGAAAACCAAGGAGTTTTGGAGATGACTTCATTCCTGCATTATTGATGAAGCAGAGATCCCAGAGCTGCTCACACCATTCCTGGAGTGGGGCACTGGAAGCTGATAGTTGGGCACCAAATGAGAGATGCAAATGCATCCACAGTGAAGTCAACTACGGGAGGGGAGGATCCAGAAGTCACATCCCAGAAACAAGGTAATTTCCAGAGACATAGGTCTGGTGTACCTGGAGCACTACCATGTAGAGGAGATATTATACGTGTTCTGTATGAGCACCATGAGTTCAATGAGAACTGACAGGCAGATGCTATCTGGAGGCAAACTGTCCTGAGATTGCATGGGCTCCCCTGAGTGTGGCAGTGAGCTCATCATCACTGAATGTATTCAAGCATAGTGAGCAAGATCACTTAGCAGTGATGCTGGGAAGGAGATGAAGCATCTCAGGTGCCTTCCACTTGTGAAACTAAACCAAGACTGGCTCAATGACACCAATGGAATAGATGGGGTTTTAAAAGCAAACAAATAGACATTCTAAGACTGATTTGACAATTCACACATTCTATCCCTGTCCTCCATTCTAAAAAAATAAAAATAAAAAAATAAAAAAATTGGCACGTTATAGTGTGAAAAGACCGTCTTCATCTTCTCTCCCATGCTGTAGGTCATCGAGGCCGTTTTTACTTTCTCCAACGTTGTGTAGCCTACAAAGAGAAAAGAGGCTGTTCATGCAAACCCCCAAGACCAGGAATAAATGGATAAATTTCAACACAACTAACTGAGGCTGTCAGAGTTAAAAGGGCTCAGAGCCTATCCAGTCCAACTCTTTCATGTCACAGATGGCCAAACTGAGGCCCTATGGGATAAAGGGTTTTTGTCAATCTATTTTAATAGGAAGTTAGAAGTTTCTATATTAGAAAATATAGATCACAACCTAAAGACATTTACTTACACACACAAAATCTACAACTGTGATCTTAGAAAGTTATCTTACTGAGCCTCAGTTTCCCTACTTCCTAGTATTTATTTGCTAACAGATATTGTGATAGCTGTAGAATTATTAAGTGAAAACAAAGTTTTCATCACAGTTTATATCAAATCTTTTTATTCCTTTTCCAGAAAGTTGTAGAACAGGACAAATATTCAAAATCCCTTTTTAGAGACTCTTGAAATGACTAAACACAAACAAACAAACAAAAATACTTGCTCCCATGGATCCCAAGGTGTACTAGTAATTGGGCAGAAGAAGCCATATCCCAGGAATAATATTCGGTGTTTTTTTACTTTTCATACTGCCCACCTTCCTCTTCAGGAACTCCGGTTTTACAACGTCCTTTTAAAGTGAGTTGCCCAGAGTTGAACAAAGAACTTCTAGCAGAGAATAGAGTGATAGATCTCCTTCTTTCTTTTGCATTCCATACTATTAATGCAAGCTGCCTTTGCAGTTGCATGTTGGACAATGTAACAGTGTTAAGCAAGGCAGAGGAAAATGTGAACTAAAGTCCCACCTCTTTTTCACCTCTAACGTCACATCTCTCCAACCCTGTATTTAATCAGAACACAAGCATAAGTCATTAAACCACTGAGTAGTATCTAATCATTTGTAACACCTTGTTCTATCATTACAATGATCAGTCATGCAAGATGAATTACCTTGTGTGTTTCTGGAAGCAATTGATTTTCATGACTTTTCCTGGGAAGACAAAGCCATAGTATAATCAGAGTGCTGTGCTAGGACATTTGAAATGCTGGGGAGCCCACTACTATCAAAAAAAAAAAAAAAAAAAAAAAAGCAGAAATAGTGTAAAGGTGACAATTTGGGGACTGGAAAGCCATTTCTTTTCCTGGATCAAATGACTGCTTCGTTAGGCCCCCTGGCAGTGCCCATCACCTACAAAGTTATCCCAACTTGTGGGCAATGGTGTTAAGCTGCTTCACCCCTGAGTCATTTGCCAACCCACAATGCAAGTACTCATTTGGGTTTTAAAATACTTCCTCATGAGCCGGGACCGGTTTGGCTCAATGGATAGAGCGTCGGCTTGGGGACTGAAAGATCCCGAGTTCGATTCCGGTCAAGGGCATGTACCTTGGTTGCGGGCATATCCCCAGTAGGGGGTGTGCAAGAGGCAGCTGATCGATGACTCTCTCTCATCGATGTTTCTAACCCTCTATCTCTCCCTTCCTCTCTGTACAAAATCAATAAAATATATTTTAAAAAATAAATAAATAAATAAAAAATAAAATAAAATACTTCCTCATGAGACTTACCCAGAATATCCAAAACTGTGACATGCCTCTGTAAATTTCCTTTGCCATTGTTCACTACAGGGGCAGGTTTCAAAATACACAAGTGTCCCTTGTATTACTCAAACAGGCTGAGATGAATACTAGTCTTATCTCCTCACTTGCTATCTTGAAACAGTTCCTGTTAATGACTAGAGAACAATTTCCCCCCCATTTTATAACAAGACCAGGTGCCACATGCCTATCCTTTGCATGAAAACTATAAACCTATTTCATGACTCCTTTCTGTAGTGTCTTAAAGCTTTTTTTTTTTTTTTTTTTTTTTTTTTTTTTTTTTTTTTTTTTAGTAGGAGTTGGGGGCATGGTCATGGACCAGCTGGAGAATTTAAATAACAGCTATGGGCCCTTCCGCTTGAAAAATGCAAATAAGAATGTACAAGCACTTTTGTATATGATTTCAAGAGACTCACTCGTCCCCTAAGTTCTATCTGTAGGACCCAGGTTAAGAAAGCTTGCTTAAAGGGAACAAATAAGAAGACTAGGGATCATTCGTGACTTTCTTTCTGGGACAATCCTAGCCACAAGCAGAGACTGGGTCAGGGCTTCCTCCCAAGACACGATAATAAGAGCACTTTCCACTTAAGGCACTCATGAGCCCGGGATGTGTTAGGCACTTGAAGAGTCTAAGGATGCAGACTCCTCCCAAAGCCCTGGTTGGGCTTGTGCATGGAGGCAACCGATTGATGTGTTTCTCTCACATTGATGTTTCTCTCTGTCTTTCCCTCTATCTTACACTCTCCCTAAAATCAATGGAAAAATATCCTAGGATGAGGATTAAAAAAACAACAAAAAAGACTAGTCAGTACTGACACAGAGTAAGTGACCAATAAGTGAAGGTGCTCTCTTATTTCCCCCAGGAAGATGATACACGAAGCCTTTAGCATCCTGAGGAGAGTGGCTTTACCCATCACCTCCTTGACCAGGATGGAGACAATGACAGAAAGGGATTCTGGGAAATGGAGAAAAGGAGCAGGAAGCAGCATCGATCTACTCCCATGTCCTTTTGGTGTCTCCATATCTCTAAAGGGCTTCATCCATCCTTACCTCGAAGTAGAAGCGCTACAATCAATGCACACAGCACAAATCCAAGGGAGGGAGCAATGATCTTCGCAAGGAAGGGGCCGTCCACCCCATTCAACTGGTGAGACACAGGGAAGATAATTGGGCCATTTGTTTCTGAATGTTTGCACTCACATGAGTTTCCAGCTCCAACCACACCCTTCAATGGCCAGAGCTTCACTGCATCTCACCACCTTTTGCCCCATGTGTCTCATGATCAAAACAAAGCCAGCCTTACAAATAAAAGAAAAATATTTTTTAGCCCTGCTGGTATGCTCAGTGGTTGGGCATCAACTCATGCAACAGAAGGTCACCCAGTTTGATACATTGTCAAGAAACATGTCTGTGTTGTGGTTGTGTGTTTGATCCCCAGTAGGGAATGTTCAGGAGGCAGCCAATAGATATTTATATCTTTCCCTTTCCCTTCCTCTCTCTGAAATCAACACAACATATTAAAACAATTTTTTCTTTACTTTCTGAAAACCCAAAACATTGACCAGATATGTTCTGTGGGGCCCTGTGGTCTGAAGGTAATTAATAATAATAATAATAATAATAATTATAATAATGGTGCTGTGCACTGTGTTCACTGTCAAATCACCAGTCAGGGCATTGCTTGAATCCTTTGAGTTCTCCCTAGCCCTGTGCAGTCCTTCTCATCGCTGACTCAGACTTCTATAGGCAACAATATCAAAGAGAAAAATGGAACTCAATGTCACATTTCCTACAGCAGTGTTTCTCAAAGTGTAGGCCAGGGAACCCATGAGATAAAAATGATGTTCATGAGACATTACTGGCCATTTTGATTGTCCTTCTCTAGTAAGCTGTACAGTGGAGATTCCCAGAGGTTACATGGGGTGTGATGATATAGAGAAATTAGAATCTACACAGATATGAGAATCTCTCTGCCTTCTGTTGAGCCACATATTGAGATTTGTGAATGTAAAGCACTGCCACTTTCTTCACTTATATTTTTTTCATTTGGGAAAAAAATGGTGGCAGGTGACAATTCTGTAGGGTGTCACTAATCTCGGGCCAATTGGAAGGAACACACAATGATTTCCCACATACTTTTATTTTTAATTTTTTTTGTTTTTCACAGCATCTGTGCATATAGGAGTCATAATATTTATGTTATTTCTGCTGAGAGTACAACTCTACAAATTCCTTTGCTATTTCATAACATTCATGAATCATTTTGCAGCTTCAATATAGTTTCTCTCCCTTATCCATTCCTGCAAACCCCTGATGTAGATTTTAAAAACCTAAGTCACATACTTCAAATACTTCACAAAAATGTTTACCTTTTCTCTTTCAACTTCATTTTCCATAAGAATTGTCGTCTCAGTGGCTGGGTAGGAAAAAGGAGAGGAAATGTCTATTTTTTTTTTCGGACAATAAAAAAAAATCACATTTTGAAATAGGCTTTCAAAGCTGAGCTGAAACTTCAGTTGATGTGTTTAATCTTTTAATATCATCTTCTATAGTACAATTTATTTATGAACATTTGATATGGTTTTATCTAAAGCTCATATTTTACCCAACATTACCCCACAGGAACATCCCCATTTTATAGATAGGTAGAATGAGGCATTAGGCCAGCAGGCTATCAGGTCTAAGTTTCTTTTAGGCCCCAACAATGGGAAGATTTTTATCCAAGAAGAAAATTTGTCACTCTATCAGTTAACATATATTTATTGACTATTTATTATAGGCCAAATACTTATGGTAGCTGTACTATTGACCTTGTTAATGAACTTAAAAGTTAGTACAGAAGACTAAATTTAAACAAATAATGTGAACAGTTGAAGAACCATTATAATTATGCAAAATTCTGGAAGAATTAATATAAGATCATAGGTCCATACCATGAGGATGGCTGACCTGTTTGGAGGGTCAAGAAAAGTGCCCTTGAGAATGTGAAGTTTTAGCTGAGATGTGGAGTCATCTACCTAATAAAAGAGTAACATCCTAATTGACCATTCCTTTGAGACACCCACAGCCAATCAGGAGTATGCAAGTTAACTCGACAAAGATGGTGGGTTAATTTGCATACATGGGCACCCAGTGGCTGGGGGCAGGGCAGACAGCTACTCCAGGCCTCTGAGCAGCATGAGAAGGTGGAAAGGTGGCTCCAGCCAAAGCAAAGGCAGTGCTGGCAGCCAGGGAAAGGAAGGCCCATTCTGGCATGACTCTGTGCCATTGGACTTCTAGTTTATATATAACTGATCTTTGAGTTCAACAAGGAAAATATACTGAGAATCCTACTAAGTGCTAAGCACTGTTCCAGGCACTAAGAATGCTGAGATGAGTATGGTATGGCCCTACTGTCACAAAACTTACAGTACATTAAAGAAGGTTATTTAAGCCTAACATTGTAAGAGTAAGAATGATGGAGTATGGACAGGCAGCTGGAGAGAGTGGGCAGAGGGAGAAGCACAAAGGCCAACATCGTAGTTCAGTGAGAGCTATTAGAATTAAGCTCCATTTGGACAGTGTTCCCCTCTGCCTACTCAGCAACACTTCCTGACACATACTTGGTGCTCAATAAATGGATTTAAATCTGAATCAAGGTTGAGCGGGAGATACTGTTCTGAGTGTCATCAGTATCTGGGGAGCCATTCAAATTTTCAAAGTGCATAAGAAATCCAAGGGTTGCATGTCCAGAGAGAGAAGAACAGGTGTCCTGGGAAACCCTGTGCTTAACAGTTGGGTAGAGGAAGTAAAGGAATGGGCAGAAAAGCAAGGTCATTAGAAGGCAGGGCAGGAGAAAATGTCCAGAAAAGATACAAAATCATTGTGCAGTACAATCCTCTGATAAAAACAGAATGTAATGCCACACAAGACAGACCTGAATGGAATAAATACCTAGGTAATAATTACTCCAACTGAGCATCATTTCCCCCAAGCTTCCTCGCACGCAAGACAAAAGGAGAAATGTGACTGGTTTCATAAGGCTCATAATTTGCTATAGGAGAGCTTATGGACAGGGAGACTGACTTGCTAAACATCTTGGAGCACAGAACTCTGAGAAAGAGGTCGGCATGTTTTATACTCTACAACTCAATTATTGTTGTTTTACTCTCTGCTATTATCCCCTGGAGCTGGAAACTGCAGGTAAGAATTCAAAACTTCTACCCCTTTTCTGTCAGAAACCTGTTAAGACTACAATCATTTGTGATGGATAAGCCTGAAATTGAAACCATCACAGAGAAAAGCCAGCCTGGGTCAGTTTTGTCAGGGCTAATTTGTATTTTAAATTGGAGTCATCTAATGGGGGAGGCATCTAGCAAACACATCTCTGCAGAATGAAACCAAACAGCACTTTTTCTTTTCTTCTTTTTTCTTTCAAAAAATGCCAAAAGCCCCAGTGGGAAGCAGTACAAGGGCCAAAGTGTTGTATACAAACTAGCAACAAGAAACACAAATCAGTGATTTTTCTTCCTTGTGAAGAGTAGTGACAGGAAGGGCTCGGGATGTGGGTTAGACAAAGTCAAGGCCATTGTTTTTCGTGTCTGTCGTCTGTGCTCTCCTGGCCCCACATTCTCAAGGCCCTGAACTCTGACACAAACACCGTCAGGAAAAGGCAGGAGCCTCCTAAAACTTGTAAGAAAAGCAATTCTGTGAGAAAGGAATTGTAGTGGTTTGAATATTGTTCTCCCTGCCCCAAATCATGTCTTTAGTATCACTTAGGTTGTGATCTTATTTAGAAATAGGGTTTTGCAGCTGTAATTAGTTGAGGATCTTCTTTAAATGAAGTCATCCTAGACTTAGGATAGGCCCTGAATCCAATGGCTGGTGTCCTTATAAGAAGAGGAGAGGGGGCAGAGAGAGACACAGAAAAGGCCCTGTGAGGATGGAGACAGAGGTTGGAGTGATGCTGCCATAACCAAAGAGTTCCAGGGGTCAGAAAAGGCTGGGAGAGGAGGGGAAAGGTCAGCCTCTTGAACTTTCAGAGAAAGCAGGGCCCTGCTGACATCTGGGTTTCAGGCTCCTAGCCTCTAGGACTGTGAGACAATAAGTTCCTTTTGTTTTAAGCCACCTGGTTTGTGGTACTTGGCTACTGCAGCGTTGGGAAACTAATATAGAATGAAAGGAAACTACATACAAAAGATGAGAGGAATCTTCAATTGGGGATAACCAGCCTAAGAAGGAGTCAAGAAATAGATGCTGAGCACAGGTAAGAAGACTAAACCCTATTGTCGGGCATAGAATTAAACTCAGAAGAATGCCATCTAATGTCATATTGTTACTAATAGTCCAATGAACATATAATCTTCAGGAGTAGCCGTATGGGTAGGCACTATCTCATACTGCCTGTGAAAACACTGACACTCAGAGGGTTGAGCAACTTGATCAAGGTCACACACGTTGCCGATGGGAGAGCTGGGACTTGAGCCTGTATGACTGACATTAAAACCTGTGTTCTTGAGGACCTCATTATACAGGAGCTGAAGCACAATTGTACCAAGCACAAAGCATGGTATGCAGCAAAGATGCAAGAAGGAATGTGCAGTACAATGATTTGCATGGAATCTAGAAAAAGGATGATCCAGAACAGTGGTCTCCAAAGACGGCTTGGTGCTTACCATGTTGGTGCAAGGCCATCCACTGGGTATGGGGAAAATGAGAGTATCTATTTTCATGAACTTAAATTCCATGCTTTCAACATTTATTTTGGAGGAATATATTTTAAAACATATATATGAATATGGAGGTGTGTAAACAAATTATCAATAATTTTTTTTACTAATCAGGATACATTATTAATCTGGTCTAAAGAAGAATGAGTCATTTGTCTCTCAAACAGTTGGGAGACCATGGTAGGCAGAATAATGACACCTTAAGGTGTCTACAACCTAATCATCAGAATTTGTGAATGTGTTTCCTTACATGGCAAAAGAGACTTTGCAATGTGATTAAGCCAAAGATCTTAAGATGGAAAGATTTATCCTGGACTAGCTACTGAGCCCGATGTATTCACCAAGACCCTTCTAAGAGGTAGGCAAAAATGTCAAAGTCAGGGACAGGATGATGGAAGAAGAGGTCAGAGAGAGAGATTTGAAGATGCTACATTGCTGACGTTAAAGATGGAAGAAGGGGCATTAAACTCAAAACTAAAAAGGAATACTAACAGACTAAATGCATCTACTTTAAGTTGCAAATGTTATAGGCAATTACATTTTTTCTTATTACTACTTTTGCATAATTTTGAAATCTTTTTCAAATGTAAAAATCTTAACTGTAAAATATCCCATGTATCATAAGTTAATCACTGGAAACTCTCTAAGATGCCTGAGTCACGAGCTAACCCTCGTGTCATTTCTCTGAAGCAGTACCACAGTGACCTTCTAAGCGAAACTTTGAAGATAGGTGTTAGGAACCCATTAACCCACAGTCAAAGACAGTTTGAGTGGTCCCGTTAGCAAAACCACCTCCCTAGTCCAAGAGTACTGACATGTAAAGATGTACAGGAAGCCTAAGCCACCAGCCAACCGGCCAATCATTTGACTGGTCTGACTGGTAGCTATGATGTGCACTAACCACCAGGGGGCAGACACTCAACACCAGAGCTGCTGAGCTGCTGTGACTTAGCAGCTGCAATTGTCAGGTGATGCACCCAGAACCAGAGAGGAGGGAGCCCAATTCTGGGGTGAATCACCCAAGAATCCCTTTCCCAATCCAGGACCCCTCGGGGGTTGTCAGAGAGCTGGTTTTGGCCCGATCCCCGCAGGCCAGGCCAAGGGACCCCACTGGTGCACCAACTCTTGCACCAGGCCTCTAGTCTCTAGATACTAGATACATAGTTTCTGTAAAGTCAAATGATTTGTTTGTTCGTTTGTTTTAAAGAACGAATACCTATAAAAATGGGTGAAATGCAAGTAGGAATTGTAGACTAGCTAGTTGTGTCAATTTCTTGGTTTTGACAATGTATTGTAGCAATGTGAGATGGTATCATTGGGGCAAGTCAGAGGAATGCACAGACCTCTCTATTATTTTGCAAGTATGTGTGAGTTTAAAATTATTTCAAAATAAAAAGATTTTTTAAATGATTTAAATTTCAGCCATTTCCTATGGCTCAATATAATATATACATCATTCATAATGGCCTTTATGGTTAAAATTTGTTGAACAAAATTGTTGAATGAATTTTAAAGCAAGTTTAAAACAACATAAAAATTTCATAAAACATTTGAAAATGTTGTAAAGAATAATGATAAATGTTACCATGCTAGAGGAAGAATGATCTTGAGCAAATATATCTCAAAATGCTACAGGAATTAATCTTGGTCACTTGGGGCAGGGTAGGGGTGAAATGGAAGGGTAGGCAATATTTGGAATACAAGGAAC